GGACTGGCTGCATTATCCCAGATCTGCAGCGTGCAGCTATTTAATTAACTTCTGACTTCTGGTTTAAAGGAGCAGTGTGCAAAACAGTTATTTACTTCATTTGGAAATCCTTTTAATCATTGCTGTAATTACAGCTTCCTGCTCTTTTGTTTTTTTGGATACTTTTTCTTAGCTGGGGGGAAAGGAGGGGAGGAGGGGGAATATTTGCCGTCCTCCTTGTGGTTATCACATCCTTCAAATTACTAAAAGAGGCTGGGATAATAGGTCTAGTGATTATATATAGGCACCATCTGCTCTGTGGCTGCTTCCTATCAAAGTGCAGCAAGGAGAGTGCAAGGAGGATATTTTCTCTCCAGCTATATTAAGACTCTGTTTCCATCTCGGCTCCCAAGCAAGGCTCTCTGAATGCAAATGGATCAAATGTGCTGTAATCAATGGCTTGTTTTTGGCAGCCTTGAAGCTGTGCCTTATTTTTTTTTTCTTTTTTTTTTTTTTCCCTCCTCAAACTTGCTGTTCCTATTCATTATGCAATTCTGTGCTCAGTGTTTTCTTTTAATTGCGGTCCCCGCCGTTTGCTGAGTAATGCAGCCTGGTGTTAGCACGGAGATCCCTGCTGTAAGTCAAATGCAAGGAAATGTCTGAGGAAATGCAGATATTTCAGGATGCTCGGGGTGGATCTGTAGCACACATGAGCTCTCAGTTTGCAGAGGAGGCAGAAAGCTGAGATGAGTTGGTTTGGGATGATAGTGGCAAAAAGTCGACGTGATAAGAGCTCGTGTGTGGTGCTGATGGAAGCTGGTGGGGATGGTGTGTGCCTGCATCCTGCTGAGCATCCCAGCTGGCTGGGGCTGGGGGAGGAGGGTTGGGCTGAGATGCAGAGGATTTGCAGAGGTGCCTGCATGGCCAAACTGCAAGATTTCAATGAGCAAAAGTGGGTAAAGAAAGGAAGAGTGAGAAGAAAATCCCAGTTTGGACAAGTCAGTGAGCATGGAAGAGATTTCAGTACAGTATAGCTGGTGCTTTTTCAGAGTGAAAACATCCCTTTCAGAACCATAGAATTATTAAGGCTGGAAAAAACCTCCCAGATCCCCAACCTCTGCCCACCCCACCATGCCCACGTCCCTCAGTGCCACATCTCCACGGCTCTGAAACTCCCCCAGGGATGGTGACCCCACCACTCCTGGGCAGCTGTGCCACTCTAGCACTGCTCTTTCAGTGAAGAAATTCTTCCTAATACCCAACTTTAGGCTACCCTGGTGCAGCCTGGGGTCATTCCCTCTTGCCCTATTGCCAGTTAACCTGGCATCCATCTCTTCCACTTGTCCTGCTCAGAGTCCTTTGCTTATCCTACAGGTTGCACATTGCTCTGTAAAGGCACATTGCCAACCTATATCTTCCAGCTTGGTCTCTAGAAATGGAGGATGGAGGGGGTTCTCCATTCAAAGAATATCACAGAATCACAGAATTGTAGGGGTTGGAAGGGACCTCCAGAGATCATCGAGTCCAACCCCCCTGCCAAAGCAGGTTCCCTACAGCAGGTCGCACAGGTAGGCATCCAGGCAGGTCTTGAACATCTCCAGAGAAGGAGACTCCACAACCTCCCTGGGTTGTAGAATATTATGTTGTAGAAGCTAATGCAGATGTTTCTCAGGCTGGAGGTCTTACCAGTGGCCAATGCAGTGGCTGTTGGAGGCATCCCACAGGGTTTTGCCTACGTCCAGTCTCGAAACATGTTTTCCAGCTTGCATGGCTGCATTTGACCACACCAGATACCACCCTGGGTTTGCCAAAGTGATCCAGGAGCTCCTAGCAAAAATTAATTAATTCTGAGCTAATGGCTGAGGCTCAGCTTAGCACGGAAGCATTATTATTAATGGATCAGAATTCCCTGGGCTTGATTTGTGTATGAATGTATAAAAGAAACTGCATTCGTTGGCCAGGAGAGAGGGCATTGCATTCATCTGGCTCAGGGCAGACCCTCTGTGCCCCAGTGCCCATTGCCTGCTCCATTCCCAGTTCAGCCTGGATGGGGCCCCACAAGAGCTGTGACACTGACAAATGGGTTATTGTTGCTCTGTCCAGTGCTCTTCTTGAACAGGAAACAGCATTTTCAAAAGTCGTGGGGTTTTGTTTTTGGTGGTTTTCTTTTTGGAGTTTGCACGGCAGGCTTTTCTGCTGTCTGTGCTTCTTCCTGATTCCTTGGCTCAAGGCTCGCTTTGCAATGCAGTGCTTTCCCTGTGCAGTGGTGAAAGGGATGCGAGGTTGGTTTAAAGGGCACCCCAGCAGCTCGGTGTGTCACCCCAAAGCCAGATTTTGAGGTGAGTGATGCTAAAGCCAGGAAGCATAGGGGTGACCCAAGTTTTCTCCTCACTGCTCTGTCCCTCCTGCAGCATCCCATAGCCCAGATGCAGACCCGCTCCTTCTCTACCCTTTTATTTTTGTCCCTTGGAAACACGACGCCAAGCTTGGTCTGAAACCCAAGAGTGCTCCGGCAGCACAGCACGCATTTCTCAATGCTGGCTCTGGGTTATTTATTATATTTTTCCCTAGGATGCCAAACGTCTCAGGCTGATCTCAGAGGCGTTATATTTAGCAGTGACAGCCAGGTTGTGGCTGTCCGTGGTTTGGGTGTGATTTAGGAGCTGTATTGCAGCAATGGGCTGAGGCTGCCCAGGATTGAGCACGTGCAGCTCATTTATTTTAGCAGAAGACCAAAGGAGCAGATTATCCCAGCTCAGCCATTGGCATCGCCAGCTTCACCTCAGACCACCCAAAAAGTGCTCCAAAAGCAAGGAAGGAGGTGATGCTTTCAGGATCATCGGCTGCATCTGTTATTTCAAGAAGCAAGAGAGCAGAAGCCCAAGCAGCAGCATTCATCAGTGTGCCAACAAATGGGCACCCACGCTGTGCCATGCTCCTGGGTCAAGCATTGCCTGCCAGCTCCAGGGCCTCCTACCACAATTACAAAGTAAGATTGTAATGTGCAGCATCCTTTTTGGAGGAGTTTCCCTACAGCATTTCTCAGGAGCTGTGTGAATGGCCTCATACAGCAGCCTGCTGGATGCTGGCTTTGTGCTATCTCGGGAGAAGAAGTGGAACTGATTTTTATGTGTTGCACTGGGTGGTTTCTAATTGTTCCTGACCAGCCTGCAGAGTCCATTATTTCTCCACCAGCTGACGCCGGCTTCTAATTAGGGGATGTAAAATGAAGATGGAAGAGCAGCAGTTTGCAAGGGGATGGTTGCTCAGGAGGAAATCCGTGCTGGATTTAAGCCCAGAGCATCCTCTTACTTGGGGAGAGGACAGCTTGCAAGCAGCAGCCCTGGGCTCCCTACAAGCTATCCTATGATGATCCTACAGTCAGCTCATGCCCTGCAAGCTCCTGTGCTGCCCATACCCCATTCCTGCACATCTCCTCTGCATGAATATTTCCTTAAAGGAATTTATCCTACAGTTGTCTGGGGTGACCTCAGCCCCCTGGATGTTGCAGGGCTTGGCACAGTTTGGCTTTCCTGGCTGAGCCACAGCACTTAAATATCTCATCCAAGAAAACCTGAAATATTTCTGTTTTACCATCAGGATGTTTTCCCATTTAGGAAACACTGCTTTGAAAACAAATCCAGCTCTGCACTGACGTCCTTTTCTGTCAAGAGGCTTCTGCGGGGCATTTCTGTAGTTGTTCAATAGGAAGAGAGCACATTCCTCACCACAAGCCACTCCTTCTGTGTGGTGCTTGCAGTACGTGCCAGCAGGGAAGGCACTGTCAAGAGACAGGAATGCTAGAGGTGTGCACTGATTGCCCCACAGGGGAATCGTGGACTGGAAGGGCATTGAGGCACTGCACAGATTGCCCAGAGAGGTGCTGGTGCCCCATCCCTACAGATAGCTCAGGTCAGGTTGGATGGGGCTCTGAGCACCTGATGGAGCTGTGGGTGTCCTTGGTTATTGCAGAGGAGTTGGATCAGAGGGCTTTGAGTGATCCCTTCCAACTCAAAGGACACTATGATTCTGTAGCTCTGGATGCAGAGCTAAAGCAGATTGTCCCACTAAACCTGCACCTGTGTGGGGTTCCCCAAAGATCCTGGATTCAGAGAGCTCTGAAATAATTTCAAATGCAGGGGTTAGCCATTGCTCTTTTCCCAGCATCATTAAAATCATTTATTAGAAAGAAATTGAGCTTGATGGTGTTAAAATGTCAGGCAGGAAATACAAACATGCATAAAACTGGGGGGAAAAGCAAATCCGAAGCTTTCCAAGGAGAATTCTGCAGTGGGGGACTCAGACTTACCTCCATGTCCAGGCTGTGCTTTTTCTGCTGCTTTGCATTTTGCTTTTTTGGGGAAGGCAGCATGCAGATGAAAGCATGCCTGCTGGGCTGGGGAGCGGGGATGCTCTCATTACTGACGATAGCTCAGCTGACTGCAGGAGCTTGGTAGGACTTCAAGAGACTGAGAGATCTATTTGGGTAATAAGTTTCTCCACGGTTACCTTAGGCAGATGTGCAAATGCTCTTGCTTCAGGGCATGAGCTGAGTGCTAGCCCAGAGGGAAAAGCTTCCCCTTCTGAAAAGCTTCCATGCCTTTCTCAGCAAGGGTTGGTTCTGGGGCAGTGTGTGATGGTTACAGGATGCTTAATGAGCTCAGCGTAGCTGCTTGAAATTTCCCATTCTGCCTGAAATACCAGCAGCATCCTCCTTATCAGACAGGCAGCGGCTCCTTTTTTCGGCTGGAGAGAAACCCATGGCTCACCCTCACCAAAGCATCCCCGTGGAGCTCATGTAACCCCATCTTGTTGCAGGTACTGGGAGGCAAAGAGCAAAAAAAATAGCAGTATTCCAGCATCCTGGGCACCATGAAGCCCCCGGCACCGTGCCGAGTCACCACCCATTTGATTTTTTTATATATAAATATATATAAATATATATACTTTTTTTTCGGGGGACTCTGCTGCATCCTGGGCCGCGAGGGGGGAATAACCTGTTTGATTTTATTTTTTTTCAGTTCTCTCAGGCCAGACACACCACAGCCCTTTGAAACGCTCTGTGTCCCTTACCCCACCCATGAATGTGCCAAACCAGCCTCTAGGACATGGATGGATGTCTCATGAGGACTTACGAGCTAGAGGACCCCAGTGCATCCCTTCCGATCATGCCCCCCTGTCTCCACAAAGCAGTGTAGCCTCTTCGGGAAGTGGTGGGAGTGAACATTTAGAAGATCAGCCTTCCGCTCGTAACACATTCCAGGAGGAAGGGAGTGGTATGAAAGGTGAGTGACAACTGAGATGCCTCCCCCCCTTTTTGCCCCTGCCTGCTCCCAGGACCTTTTTGGGGCCATTTTTGGGGAACTTGGGCTTTGGTCGCACCCTTGTTGGCGTCATCGCTGCGTCATCGTTTTGGTCTCACCATATTAGGGTGATGGCTTAGGCTCCAAAAAGCTGCATTTTCTCCATAGCCTGTGTTTTTAGCTGCCAGTGGTGCTCTCTTCCTCTTTCAATTTTCCAATTACAGTGAAAAAATAAGTTTAACAAGTCATGGGTCATTTATCATTGCGATGGTTGATGTGAACAGAACCCCACCGAGTATCTGGGGCCCAGGATGCTTGTTTGCACTGACTTCATCCCGCGTATCTCAGTTTTTCCCATTTTGCCTGCTTTTCACAGAGACTTTTAGTAAGTAAGGCAGAAATGAAACGTCGTTGCTGCAAAGATGGAAGGCAAACGTCAGGCTGTAGGGGAATGAATCGCAGTAACTGTGCAGAATGGGCAAACTCACAGCCTGCGTGTTCTTGTGAGCAGAGAAAATGACTGGAAATGAACTCACAGCTAGCAGAGACTTATTTAAACAACTGCTGTCAGGCATGCAGTGTAACACAGTGCCAGCAGGGACGGTTGCTTCTCATTAATGCAAAGCAGCTCTATCGCGTGAAGACCAGTGGTGCACTAGAACAAGGAAACGTATTTTCCAGTAGTTACAAGGGGTGATTTTGTTCTAATGGCAGACAGATCTGGGTATGGAGGAGTCCTCTGTAATGTGGAACAGTATTTGAACGGGCACGGTGTGACTTTCTGTGATTTGCATGGAAGAAATGTGTGGAAACACTCCTGGTTTGCCCTGTGATGCTGTGTGCTGAGCCCTATCCCTGGGTGGGCTTTGCCTTGAGATGATGCCTTGGGACAGTGGCCACGGGCTGTGGATGTGACAGAAGGGGTTTCTAGGGGGCTCTGCTCACTAACAAGCTTCTAATTAGGGAGCTCAGGCAGGGAGAACCACATCAGGGCAGGTGGCACAGAGTGGGTTTTCCCCACATGACGTTTCTCTGGGTTTCTGCTGGTGAGGCTGGGGAAGAGACTTGGCTGGGCTTCACTCTGCATGATTGTGACCTAGGTGGTAATTTTCCCAGAGAAGTGCATTGAATCCCCCTCACCCATATGGCCAAGGCTGCTCAATTTCCTTCAGAGAACCAAATATAACAACCAGAGGTGCTTTTGCCCATCAGGATCTTCCTAACCCAGCCCACTCTCTTTGTCACCGCTTCCCCTCCTCGCCCCTCTCTGCAGGGTGCTTCATGCACATCCCTGCTCTGTTCCCCCACTGCTGAGTCAGACAATCTGCTTCTGTCCCGCTCTCAGGGACATTCAAACCAGATGTCTGCAGCCTCTGGTCTCATGCCCAAAGTCTGTCATGCCGTCCCCTCAACTGTATTTCCTTCAGGCTGCACTGACCTGTTTTATTCCCAGTTTTCTAAACTTGGGATCGTGCTTCCTTCTCTCCTCTGGTTTTCTTCCATAAAGCACATGTCCTTCTGAAGATGTGTTGCCCAGAACTGGGCTTTGTGTCAGAGCTGAGCAGAGAGGACTTGGTTGCCACATGGACAGGGTTCTGGTGCTGTGCAGCTTGCTGTGCTCAAATAACACGACAGCGCTGGCTGCGTGCGATCCATTGTATCCCCAGATCTCCTCTGCAAAAAGTACTGCCCGTTCCCTGCTCTCATTCTGTGCCGTTTGCTGTTCCTACATCCGTGCACAACTTCATGCATTTTTATTGGATTGTGTCTTATTTCATCCAGACCGGGTTCTGGCTTTGCCAGATCCGTTCGGAGCTGCAGCCACGTCTTCTGAAGTGCCTTCCCCAAACTTGCTCTCTCTTCCACCCTCCAGGGCAACCATTGGATGCATTGGGGCCCACCAGGGACCCCCACCTGTGGTTCATCTCCCCTGATGTTATGTATTTCTCTGTTTTCCATCTATCTTCGTGCTGAAGGAAGCACAGAAGTCCTCATCCTGCTGCTCACGTTAGACACGGCGTTTTGGGCAATCGTGCCATGACTTAGCAATTATGTCCCAATAATTGGTGATTAAGGAGTAGCTCTGTGTGTGGAAGGCAAGCTCACTGCTCCATGGGGTCACTGGGGAGTTGGGCTTTCCAAGGGCCATGAAATCACCTTATGCAGGCTTTTGCACATCCTTATTTTCTGCAGGGTTCCATATGTGTGAATGAATCTCTCTTCTGCCGGTGTCCAGTTGGACTTTCCCATTGACTTTGTCCTGTGCCAAATGCAAATGTCCCCAGGGAATAGAGGAACAGGCAGATCTCTAATGTACCATCACTAGAATGTTGTGTTTCCCATAAATGAAGCTGAGATTCAAACCTGCCAGGCCCTGTGCTGGAAGCAGAGGGCTTGCTGTTAATGGCTTTTCATTTCTCAAAGCAGAAAATTGGGGTGAGGCTTTTGGTAGCGGGGTTTAGAATTGTCACGTGTTGGAACCCTTGGAAAATGGCAAATTTGAACTTGTCTGCACTTGGTAACTGCTTTGCCCCCTTGTTGAGGTTCATCTCCTTCAGGGATTTAATTGGAACACAAGTCCTGACCTGTGTCAGTGGACAGAGCCTGTCAGTGGGCAGGATGGTTTGGGTTGGAAGGGAACATCCAGTCCCAGCTGCTTTCATGGGCAGGGACACTTCCCACCAGCCCAGGGTGCCCAAAGCCCCATCCAGCCTGGCCTTGGGCTTTGCAGGGATGGAGCAGGAGGTCTTACCAGGAGGGTGGGAGCTTTGCCTGTTTGCAGATGAAAACTCACTGGGGACCTGTTGAGGTGGGCTGAGTGTGGCGCTGGGGTCTTTACAGGGATGAGACACGGGTGACCCTCCTTTAGCAAGCAGCAAAGGGGTCTGTGCATGGGGAAGTGGGTACTCCTTGATGGGCACGTTGAGCAGGCAGAGCCCAGGGAGCTCCTTCCCCTCCCACCCTTGTTCACGGTCAGTGCCTCCCTGCACAGGCAGTCAGGGCCCACCATATGTTCTGCCTTACATGAGTGTGGGCTTCAATGCTGTTTGGGGCTGAAATGCTGTTTTTTATTCCTGTGCTACCCAGTGCAGGCTGAGATGGTGCTGGAAGATATCTCATGGATGAGGCAGGGGACAAGGACTGATGGGACTGATGGGATTGCTGAGGGTGCCAATGGAGTGCAGTGGGCTTGGCAGGCTACGTGGTGCTGTTCAGCTGCTAAATGAGTCAGGTCCCAATCTGCCAGAGCATTTGAAGCCTGTAGGACATAGAGCAGAAGCAGCAGCATGGGCTGAAACCATCACCTGCAGAACCCAGGGGAAGCTCTGAGTGGGGCTGAAGCTACAAAAGTGGGTTTTGGAGACCATCTTTGACAGCACATCATTTCTCCCTTCTCCAATGTAAAATAATGACGATCTGTTTGTTTCTCTTTAAGCAGCTGTTTAAATTTTCAGCACACCTCATCTTCCCTCACGCTGTAAATCAGTGTCTGTAAGCTGCAGCACAGCCATTTGCTGGTGCTAAGCTCAATCCCACCATTCCCTTCTGCAGCTTCCATGTTTCCAACAAAGCATGAGGAGCATGCCCATGCCATGGCACAACACCAGCCCCCCATGTAGCATCACCAAATTGCATGGCTGCAGGTGGGCATCAGGGCAGCCAACTCAGCTTTAGGAAAAGACTTGAGGTCATTTTGTGAAGGGGCCCTGTGTAGGGACTGAGTGTATAGCAGTGGGTCTGGACCCACTGAGCTTGGTGGGATGCTTTGTGATGAATGGAGCAGATGCTGGAACACATCCTAATGGTTTTATCTTGGGTGTAGTGTAGACAAGAGTGATTGGATCAGAGTGGTTTCAAGAGCCAGGGAACTAACTCTGAGTCCCCCTTCCATCGCACCCATAGCATCTCAGCCTCCTTAGGGCCCCGTGAAGCTCAGTTGGGCACCTGCAGCATCAGTGGGATGGCACATGGGAAAAGCAGCCCTTAAAAAACCCCTCTGTTGCCTCCTCAGTTGACCCAGCTGTTGATAACACGTGTCGTTAAGCAGCATCATAACTAACGGGGAGCTCTTGTCCCATTGCCCTTGTGCTGCAGATGTTCCAGCCTGGCTGAAGAGTCTCCGGCTGCACAAGTACGCCGCGCTCTTCTCACAGATGACGTACGAGGAGATGATGGCCCTCACTGAATGCCAGCTCGAGGCACAAGTAGGTCTGCAGGAGGGCACAAGGCTGTCAGCCCCAGCGCATCCCACTGGCAACGGGACGCCTGGATGCGTCTTGTGCCCTCGTGGCTGGTTGGAGAGCAAACAGCAAAAGGAGCATGGAGCGTTGGGAGAGTGAAAAAACTCACTGTACTTTGAGAAGGCCACATCCCAGATTTCTTACTGGAATTCCCATCTTCTTCGAAGTCGCTGGGAGCTGTGCTTGGGGTTTGGTCATGTTGGGATTTGGGCGTTTTGGGGGCACAGGCTTCAGGCCGTAGCTCCCGAAAGTCAGTGGGACTTTGGTGGCTGATTTCTGAGTAAACCTTTGAGAACGTCCCCTGTCTCAGCTTATATCTGTGTTAGCCTTGGTGTAAAAAAATCCAGGCAACACCTTTGCTTTCACTCTTTGAGATATAGCAGGGTAGGGATGGGTTAGCTAGAAATCTACGTCTCCAGCAATTTCCTGACTGGTTTTCTATGCAGATCAGAAATTGGATTAATTTATAGCAGCCCGTTCCATTTCAGAGGGAAGGGCTTTGGGTTGCTCAGGTCATCCCATGGAAATGGTAATGCCAGGCTGTGTGCTGTTTTTGCAGAACGTTACCAAAGGCGCAAGACACAAAATAGTCATCAGCATCCAAAAGCTAAAAGAAAGACAAAACCTGCTCAAATCATTAGAAAGGGTAAGTAATGACAACAGCTTTTATGTTTCCTGTTTTCCCCCACAGACCCAGTGGGAGCAGTTCGCCTGACCTTTTGCTATTTGTTATTGGGATATTGTATTATATTTAATTGCACCATCCTCCAACAGCAACCAGCACAGCCTCCCACTAGGGGCCTTTAAATACCTCTGTGGTGTGTTGCTATTTATTGGTGTTTTCCTTAGCTCACTGCTTTGCTATTTATTTATAATACAGGATTGTACTTGGAGTATTGCAGGAGCTAATTAAGTCATATTTACTGCCATACATTAATAATCACTATTAAATCCAAGAGGCAGCCCACTGGATTGAGCTCACCTCTGCGATGTGTTTTCCAGCCTCTACTCCCTCCTCTCCACGTAGGTTTTGGGATATGGCATTGACCACAAGCCCAGCCCAGCCAGCTATGCATGCTGCAAAATACAAGGAGGGAAGTGCCAGGGGCTGCTTTGCTTAGAATCATAGACTCATAGCAGAGAATAGCTTGGGTTGGGAAGGACTTCACGTCCAGAGCAGCTCTCAGTCAATTCTCCTCCTGGTCTGTACACATGCCTGGGATTGCCCCAACCCAAATGAGCACTTTGGCTTCATTGAACCTCATGAGGTTCATGTGGGCCCATTTCTCGAGCCTGTCCAGCTCTCCCTGGATGGCACTCACACGCTGGGTGTGGGCTGGGGGATCTCCCTGTACCACACTGTGCTGGAACTCAGTGCTGCTGCACTTGGGAAGAGACATCTCTGGTTTTCCAGGCTTCCTATCCAAATAGTTTTCTTTTTTTGTTTTTTTTATCCTGAGGTTAAGCAAGAGCATGTGTGTGTGATGGATTTTTTGGGGCATTGTCTTGCTGCTGAAGATTGCTGCTTTCTTGGAAAGAGGCTGCTCCACCCTCTCTGCCGGTTAGCAGAGCAGCAGATTTCCCCAGAAAGTATTGCCCAACAGCCTGACGTCGTGCATCCCTGTATCTCCAGGCTGAATTTTTTTTGCTGCAGGGATTTCAGTTCAACTGCAGGCTGCACAGAGCTGTGCGTGTCCCATCTCCCGTCCCTGGAGGCACCCAAGGCCACGGATGGGGTTTCGGGCATCCTGATCTGATGGGAGGTGCCTCTGCCCATGGCACGGAGTGGGACTGGATGGGCTTTAAGGTCTCTTCCAACTCAAACCAACTCAATGGTGCTGGTCTGGTTTGTAAGCAGTGCCCTTTCTTCACCACAAATCCTCCCTTGCCTTGAACCCGCAGGACATCCTGGAAGGTGGCAACCTGCGTGTCCCGCTGCAGGAACTACACCAAATGATCCTCACCCCCATCAAAGCCTACTCTTCCCAAATCTCCAGCCCGGAGGAGCACAGCCGGGACACGGACTCACATCATCCCCCCTCCCTGCTGGGCTCAGACAGCCAGGGCTCCGATGGCAAGGACTCTGCAGCGGGGGGCATGCAGCAGCATCACCTGCCGGGCTGTGAGGGCGAGTCGGGGGGAGGCCCTTTGCCTGAAGGTGACCTGCCTGGACAGTTCACAAGGGTGATGGGGAAAGGTGAGCGAGGTTCTGTGAGTGTCTCACACAGGCCAGCTGGGTCTAAGCCCCTTTTTAAACTGCGGGTTAGATGCAGGACATTCAAACATGCAGGCGCTGTTCCATGTGGGGTGTAGGGTTTGCATTGGGATTAATGTGCCAGGGGTGGATGGTAGAAGTGTGAGGTGGAGAGCAGCATCGTGTGCCATACACAGGGCTGCTGCAGCAGGTATTTTAGACACGTCCTGCTTCCCCTCCACAGTATCTGAGGTGTTCATGCTGGCTGCATCCAGCAGGCGTGCACAGAAGACCAAGAATAGAAGGAAACTTTCTGAGGTGCATTGGGAAACAGCAGCTCTGTTAAAAACCTGCTGTCGTCTGCTGCCTTTCACATGTTGTAATGGGGAGATGGGAAGGGGGCAGGTCCTGTGCTCCTGGCTTGCTTGGGTCTAATTCTGAGGACTCAACTGAATGGACACCAGTGTAACTGAGAACAAAATCTGACCCTAAATATAGGACAGGAATTAGGGACATGCTTTTTTTCTCATTGATACAAGGGAAGGGGGGATCCAAGGCCCTGATCCCAGCTCAGCACTACGTTCCCTCTGATTTTCCCTTCTCTTTCTTGCAGTGTGCACACAACTTTTAGTTTCCCGACCAGATGAAGAGAATATAAGCTCCTATTTACAGCTTATAGACAAATGTCTAATACACGAGGTGAGTTGTGACAAATCTTGTTGTTTCCAAAGTATCTGTTTATGTAAACGCTCTGGTTTCTAACACAAATATTTTTGGGGAGTATTAATAGTAATTATGGGGCCAGTAGGGTGCACAGAAACACTGCTCCCCCACTGCTTACATGGTGGCATGGATGTGGAGCTGGGAAGTGCCTCGTGCCAGCCTGGCCCTACTAAGCTCCAAGCTGTGCATGCAGCTTAAATAAAAGACAAGCTGATTTGTGAGCATCCAAGGAGTGTTCCCACTGAGCTGGTACCCCTGGGACCCCTGGAAATGGTGCAAGAGGTACAGCTGTGCCCTGGCAGGGATAGGGAAATCTCTGGGTGTTGGTTTTTTTTATATCATAGAATCATAGAATATCCCAAATTGGAAGGGAATCATAAGGATCTTTGAGTCCAATTCCTGGCTCCACGCAGGACCACCCAAAAATCAGACCATATGTCTGAGAGTAGCGTCCAGATGCTTCTTGAACTGGCAGCTCAGGGCTGTGACCACAGCTATGGGATCGTGCCACTGCCTGCTGCTTTCTGTGCATGCACATACACAGCCCTACTCATTCCATCCAGAAAAATACTCATGTGTTTCTTATTTTTCTCTCTTTTGTTTTTTTTTTTGGGGTGGCCAGGCGTTTACAGAGATACAGAAGAAACGGCTGTTGTCATGGAAACAGCAGGTGCAAAAACTCTTTAGGTCTTTCCCTCGGAAATCCCTCCTGGAGCTGTCAGGCTATCGGCAGCAGCGGAGGTACGCGGGCACTGGGGAGGATGGAGGGGTGGCAAACAGTCCTGCAGCTCCATTTTGAATGGGGATGCTCATGCTGCTGCCTGATGCTACCCCACAGCCTGGCCCTGATCCCAGGCATCTAGCAGATTAAATCCATCCAGAAGCAGGAGGGCAGCGCGATTGCACCCATTTCACAGATGGGAAGCTCAGCCAGCGAGGAGCTGAGCAAGCAGAGGGCATCCCTGTGCCACTTCTCACCCTGCCTACTTCCCTCCTGCCTTCTGCTCATTAGATCAGGGCTGGAGTTCCACCAAAAAGCCATCAGAAAGCTGGCAGATAGGTTGGAAGCCCGCTGTTAAAGAGCACGGTGCTATGAACACATTGTTTACTCATCCACGGTGATGCTGGGGTTTGGGTGATCCTAGCATGCAGTTGGGTTGTTTCAAGAACAAGGCTATTTTTAGACCAGTTTGAACAATAATGTCAGCCTTTTGCTTCGTTCCACTGAATACATGTGATTGCAGTCAGCACTGCTTGCTGCCAGAGCAAGAGGGGGTGGTGGGCAGAGGGGACGTGGCACTGCCTTGCACTTTGCATTTCATAGAGGCCTGTCAGGGTTATAGAGTGGCTTGGAAGGAGCCTTAAAGGATACCTGGTTCCAATCCTACCACGGCCAGGGCCATGGCCTCAATGTCTGCCCCCATTAATTCCACTTGTGACTACCTGATCTTGGGTCTGGGCCATTCTGCTGCAGTCCTGGGGTTGTGATGTTAGAGCAGGTCCCAACACTGGCTGCCTTTCACTCAGCCTGTCCCAAGTGGCTCAGAAAGCCATTATGACGAAATCTTACCAAACTGGGGCAGTGTCAGAGAGGGCTTTGTTCATAAAAACAAACCTCGCAGAAGAGAAGGTTCCAACAGCGTGAGCTGAGCCTCTATCAGTCATTAAGGAATCCAAATGGGAGAGACTTCTTTTGTGCCCCAGCTGCAAGATGAGTTTAAATCAAACCTCAAGAAAACAGACAGCATGGACCCATGGTCGGCAGGTGGGAGGGCACAGAGCCCCATTGCAACCATCACAAACCCACCTGCAGAGCACCTCCAGTCTCACCCCAGCATTTCTCTCTCTGCAGCCGAGGCTTTGGGCAGTCCAACTCCTTACCTACAGCCGGATCCGCCGGGGCAGGGCTGGGCAGACGAAACCCCCGCCAGTTCCAGATCCCCTCCCGCAACCTCCCCACTGCCCGCCTGGGGCTGCTGGGTCCCAGTGGGCTGCTGGGCACCCCACAGCGCAGCCCTGCCACCAGCCCTGCCATCCTCAAGCAAGGCAGACAGGTTGGTCAAAGCTCATGGCTTTGTGGGGAGCGACCCGTGGAGTAGGGAGGGCAGCTGGGTGCACAGAGGGGGAGAATTGAGCCCCCGGGGTACTTTGGTATTGATCCATAGATGTATATCACACCCGGGGGTGTGCATTAATAAATACCTGGCAGGAGGGTGGAGAGGCTCAGATGGGTGTGGATGGGAGCATCACTGTCCCGATGCACACCGTTTCCCTTCTTCCACTATTTCCCATCTCGCACCAGTTTCCATCTCCCCCCATTCCCCATCTCCCATCGTCTCCCATCCAACACCATCGTCTCCCACCAGTTCCCACCTCACTCGGTTCTTTGCATCCTACAGAACCTCTGGTTTGCCAACCCTGGGGGCAGCAACAGCATGCCCAGCAGGAGCCACAGCTCAGTGCAGAGGACGCGCTCGCTGCCAGTGCACACCTCCCCGCAGACCATGCTGATGTTCCAGCAGCCAGGTAGGAAGCAAGCATTTCCCTTTTGCTTCTCCTCATCCCATGGTGTGGAAGTGGCCGTGCCAGCCGATAGCCAGTCTTGCTCTTATTTAGGACATCATGCCACCAGGATGCCTTTGGGATGGGTTGAAGCAGAGATACTGCTTGGCCCTACAAATGACACCGCAGCCGTGCTGGTGCCCTGCATAACTGCCCTCTGGGGCAGTTCACTTCACGCTGTCGCTCCGTGGTCACTTTGTCACTTGCATGTGGCCTTGGTGTGGGAGAAGTGACTGGATGCCTCAAAGGAAATTCTTTTGTTAATGCCTATGAAGGTGAACGCTCCCATCTCTGCTTCCCTCCTGAACGCCTGGATAATGTTCCCTAGGAACTCGAGGAGCTCCTGTAGGAGCATCCTCTGATTCAGTGGTTCCTGTGAAGTTCCCATCCTTCCCGTGGGGATGCTCGTCCCCATTCCTCTGGGCAGCCCTCCGTCACCCTTTGAGCATGGCTTTTCTTACTATGGCAATTCATATGGGGCATTACACCCCTGACAAACTGGGACCAAGCGTGGCCTCCCACGTGTGCTCTATTTAAAGCTGGCACTGTGTGTGACCTGCGGGCTGAAATGCCGCCGGGCTGGGGGTGCAGATCACTTACAGCCAGGGTATTTGGGGACAGGGCAGTGGAAAAGCCAAGGGACAGCAGCAGCACCTACAGCCCTCTGGCCCATCCATCTTGTGTTGCCACTCCAGCTCTCCCTGATTTATCGGATCGGAAATACAGGATTTGTAGGATAGGAAACAGAATGTAGGATTTACAGGATGGGAAATACATTGATAGGAAGTGTGGGAGAAACGTGGTGATTTTTGGAAACTTCTCTTTACTGAGGTTATTGCACTGGAAAAAGGAGTGTTAAGAGCAGTGATAGTGCGCTGGGATGTGGGTGGGTGTTGGTTGGAGTGGGAGAAACCCAAGCAAGGGGAAGCCAAAGGGGTGTGTAGGTCAGGTCCCCAGCGTGTCCCCTGACCCAGCTCTTCTGTCCCTGTCTCTTGCAGAGTTCCAGGTGCCGGTGACTGAACCTGACATCAACAACAGGCTGGAGTCCCTGTGCCTGAGCATGACGGAGCACGCGCTCAGCGGTGAGCACTCCCTCCTCCTTGGGCTCTTCCAGCACGTCCAGGCGGCCTCAGCCAAGCCCCCCAGGGGCTGCCCCACGCCCCCCAAGGGCTGGGACCAGCTTTGGCTGTGAGAGATGAGACAGGGTGGGATGGTTGCTGCTCCCACGGAGAGGTCTCAGCCAGCTCTGTCGGGACAGAGGGGTAAAACTAAACGCAGGGATTGCGCCCGGCGCTGGCAAAGCCTGTGCTTTTAGCCACTAGTTAGCTTGCTAATCATCATTAGTGTTAGCTCACTAGTCTGCTGTTAATTAATGACAAAGCCACCCAAGCTCTCGAATGGTGCACAGGCTTCAGAGTGCTCTACCCCTCTGCCAGCCCAAGCCCTGCTTTGCTGAGGGGACACGGGGACCCCCAGGGCTGCAGCCATCCCTTTGGGGTCGCGGTGATGCTGGCAGCCTGGGTGGGGACAAGGAGCAGGGAGGGAGGAGGAGGTCCAGGCTGCAAGCAGTGCAAGAGGGGAGCCCAGGGAGGCACCGGACACGCCGTGACGCAGCGGACCCGGATGGCGTGGGGACGCCAGGATGGGACGAGCCGAGCAGCCCGCGTCGCCCAGAGCCTCCTGAATACGCGGCCCCAAAAACCACAGACTGTCGGATGGTGGAGGATGGGAACCCACGGGGAGGACAAGGCTCCCTGCAGCGATGGCACTGCCCAGGGACAGGGACGTGGGAGCGAGGACTGGACGTGGCAGCAGGGTGCTGGCTGTGGGCACAAGGACACTGCTGTCACCGACGCGTTCCTGCGGCGCGCGCCCAGGCGAGGCTTAGCTGTGTTGTTCCTGTGCAGGGTACTGCTCCTCCAAGTTATTTGTTTTTTCCAGGTCGTATTCCCCCCCCCCCCCCCCCCCCCCCCCAAGCCTCTCCAACCCGGCTGTGCTATAAATAGCCCTGCAGAAAAAATAATATTGAATAATAATAATAAACCTTTGGGGGAAAAAAATATCTAAGAGTAACAAACCTGTTTGTTTTCAAGTCTTAAATCCCGCCTGGCTGAGCAGAACAGGCAGTGCTCTGTTGGGGTGGGCACAGACCCTGCTGTGTGCTGCCCCTGCGTATCCCCTGAGTGTAATGCAGCTCATTCTGCATTGTGCAGAGCGTGGGGAGAGAGGGTAGCCCCACTCTGCACCCCAGGGATTGGGATGGGGTTTGGAGGAGGGTTGGGGGTGTGCTGTGGTTCATGCAGGGGGGCATCTTGTGCTGGGGGGGGGGGGAGGAAATAGGGTTGGGATGCACTTTGTGCGCTGTGGCAGCCTCCTTGTGCGCTGGTGGAGGTGGAGGGATGCTCGCACTGGGTCCTGTTGTGCAGCTTTGGGTTGGGTGGCACATCCTTGGCTGCAGGGCAGTGGGCTGGTCGCATCCCTGCTGTGCTGGGTTGAAAAGGCTGTGGGGCTTTTATCAATCGGTACTGCTGGGTTGGACGATCTGGAGAGGAGCAAGGCAGTACCCCAGGGCCGGCTCCATCCCCACGTGCTGGAATAGGGAGTCCCAGACTCATGGCCACATTGCCACCAAACTGTCAGGAACCCCCATCTGCTCCTGGAGAAGGGGACAGGGGGCCGTGGCAGGAGCAAAACCCCACTGAGGCCATGGTACCAATGTGGGTTGCAAAGAGACTGTGGGAGGAGAGCGGTTATATCAGCCCCGAAAGACCCTATTGCCACCCTATGGGAGGATGAATGGGGGATTGCCCTGCTTCCATCCCACTTCAGGGGATGACCAGGGGCAGTCAGGAGCAGAGCAGTGTGACCCCAGGGCCGCCCCTAACTCTGCCTTCCCACTTGCAGACGGTGTCGACCGGACCTCCACCATCTAGAGGAGGACAGCCTGATGGCGGCGGTGCTGATGGGAGAAGAACTGCTGCAGGTCCAGCGGAGAGGTCCAGGCACGGGAGCCTCAGTGACAGCTTGCATCCTTTCTGTCTTTCTCTCTCTTCCTCTCTTTTCTCCTGTTTTAATTTGGTGAACGTGTAGATTGTCCTTGTGAACATACCATTAGACTTGGAATTTGTGTTGTCCTTTCTTACATCCGTGCTAAAAAAAAGAAAGGGGGGAGGGGGGTGGGAAAGGAGGGATGGCAAAGAAACAACGCTGAGAAAAACAAACAGCAAAAAAATGCCTGGGGTGGGTGGGGGGTGAGGCAGAAAAGTGCTGACTTTGTGGTTTCGCCATGGGTGGTGAATGTCACCTGTGTGTGACCAAAGCCCTGAAGGGAGGATTTGCCATAGGGGACCCCGCGGGCGCTGCCAGCTGGTCCATCCTTCTCCTCATCCCATGGGGGCTGGGCTGTAGCCTATGCAAAAAAAAAAAGGCCCCTCGGGATGGATGGAACCAGTGGCTGAATTGTGAAAACCAAAATCAAAAAAAAAGATTAAAAAAAAAAAAAAAAAAAAAAGCAAAAACAAACCTGCCTTTCTGTTTTGCAAAGAGCACCCGGCACAGAGATCCGTCTGTCGGTGCGGTGTTGCGGGGCGCCCGTCCTGCTGTTGGGTTGTGAAGGGCTGGGGATGTCGGTGAGGGGCGATGCAGTGAGTGATGGGTGTCCGTGTCTCTGTCTTGTGTGTGTGGTAGAAGAAAGGTGCTGCATCCTGGGTTTGCACATCTGCCCAGCCTGCCCAAACCATCACTGCATCATCACCACATTCATCGTGGCATTGCTGAATGGTTGGGTTGGAAGGGGTCGTAAAGACCTTCTGGTTCCACCCCTGCTGTGGGCTGGGTGCCCCCCAGCTCAGGCTGCCCAGGGCCCAACCATGGCCTGAGCACCTCCAGGGATGGGGCACCCACAGCTCTGGGCAGTGCCAGGGCCTCACCGTCCTCTAAGTAAAGAATTTCTAACTAAAAGCCCATTAAAATGGGGTTTCCCCAGCCCTGCAGTGGGGTAATCCTGGCCCCAAGGTGAGAGGACGTTCTGGAAGAGCAGAACCAACCAAACGAGAGCGGGCACCAAAACTCAGCCCTGTTACGGGGCATAAAAAGCATCAGGAAGGGGTCATGAATGATGCTCACCCCTAATGGACTTAGTAGAGGAAATGAGTAACACCTGAAGATGCTCAGAGCAGGAAGTGAATGGTCGTGGTGCCCCCTGGGTGGGTTTTGCTGTAAGCACTGCAGTCGGTCCCTACTAATAGAAGGGCGTATGAGCAAGGGGATTCAGTCCCTGCTCATATATGAGGCTGTAGGGTTCCCAACATTGGCTCAACCCACAACACCAGTGGGCAGCTCCAGTTGAGGTGTGACCAGCAGTGCTGCTTTTCCAGGGGCTGAGCAGGGCTGGTTGTGCAGCTCTCGGCAGATGCGCAAATCCATTGGCGATGCAGCATTTTTAAGTAGTTTCATATGCATCTATATATCTATATATATATGTGTGTGTGTGTATATATATATAGATAGATAGATAGATATAAAAAGAAGTGCCAAATGCAGTGTTTTACATTTGCTGTTCCTTGGTTTGCTGTTGACCGGAAGGTGTTGAGGCGATGTTTACGTGGGGGAGCGGAGAAGGGAGAAGCAAAGTGGGAGTGCTATGGGACAAGCAGGGCAGGGCGGCACGAGGAAAGCCTGAAATCCTATTTATTCCTTTGCTGAATATAGAAACAGAGGTTATCTGATTGTTAAGAGAGATTATTTTGGATATATTACATGTGAACGTGCTATGGCTGGTAACCATGATGAAGTCTGTTATTAACAACCGCCGAATCATTCGGGTTCTTTGTGTTGGTTTTTTTGTCTGTTGTTTTCTTTCTCTCAAAGCTTGTTTCCCATTGGCAGTGTATGGGTTAATGGCTCTTCCGTTGTGTTTGCTGTTTCTTGTTTTTATAAGTAAGGAAAAGCGGCTTCGGTTTCCATTTTGGAAGTCCCTCCTGGCTCTGTCGGAGCCCTGCGCTGAGTGCAGGTAACAGCAGAGCTCTGTTCAAAGAAACGGATCGAATCCTGGTATTTATAAGACACAACACATGCAAAAAAGAAAAAAAAAAAAAAAAAAGAAAAAAAAAAAAAAAA